AGCATGCGCCGCTGGTCGCTATCTACCTTCCAAAACTACCCACCTACCACCTCTCTGGTTTTGGCCATTGTTTTGGATTGCCGGGGATCCTGCAAACACTTTCTGAACGGCCAACGGAGCTCTCTCCTATGGCCAGCAAATATTGACCATTTGCCTTTTGCCAATTTGTTTGCATTTCAGGAAAATATTTTCATTTTCAATGCTCGCTCGCTTGCCGGTTAGCCATATTGAAAATTAAACTGCAAACTAGTCGGTGTGTCTGTGTGACTGTGGCACATGGCACATGGAAAATTGCCTTGATTTCCCTGGCCATGCCTACGGTGAATTGTCATTTTTAATTTATTTTGTTGCCAGCATTTATACAATAAATATCTCACTGTGTCCACACAGCATTCGCTGCTCTCTCTTGCCAGTTTTCTCTGCCTCTTTACCCATCCTTTTCGCCATTTTTAAGGCCCTGTTGGTTGTTGTTTGCAATTGCTTTTTGATTATCTCTATTTGCTGTTTGTGTTATTGAGCTGTGTGTGTGTTTGTGAGTGAGCATGGCCAAGTGAAAACAAATTGAGTTCTCCGTTAAGCGTCGAAAATAGTTTTCAACTATCTCCTGCTTTCTCTATATTTATGTGTATGTGTATCGGAAATGGCTATGTGTGGGTCGTAGCCAAAGTGCTAAAGCTTGTAGTGCCGTTAGTTTGCATTAAATTTTTTGGCAACTGGTTCTTCTTCTGGCCGAAAAGCGAAGAGTGTCAGGAATTATGCTCGCTTGTTTTCCCTTTTCTCCACACACATTTTTATTCAGCAACATTTTCTGCTTATGTTTTATGTAAAGCCTTAAATGGAGTTTGCAGTGTGGAGGAAAATCGGGCTGAAAAGTTTAGGGGGACATGCAATTTGTGTGCTCCAAAGTGGCTTATCATAAGTTCCGGGAATCTTGCAGCCCGAAACGCCCTCCGCAAGTTATTATAATAGAGGAAAACCAATTTTTGGAAAATATTTTGAAATTATTAAACTGCTTAAAGAGAGATAAATATATATGGAACCGCATGGAAAATCTTATAAATATCAGGACAAATTCTAGCAAACCCTTATTCAAACTTTAAAGCTATGGCCATTTATTTCACCCCACCCCATATCAAACAAAGCCTGGCGAACATATTTCATTCGCATTATTCCAACTCTTTGTCTATTTTCGCAAGGGCCCTCCAGACGCGGATCGCATTTTTTCTACTCTGTTTTAATGCATAGCAAAGTCGAACCACTAAACAGTCTAAATTTGCATAAAAATCCGTTTTATTAACATTCAAAGGCGATTCCTATCGCCGCTAAATTGAAGAAAAGTAGCTTGAGCTCGGGAGAAAAGGGGCGAAAGGAGTTGTTCTTCCAAGCAAACAGAGACCCTGAGGGAAAATGCCATGTAAATGCTCTCAGGGCAAAAAAAAAAAAGAGCTGGAATAGAAAGCAGAAAAAAAAAAGTGTAAGAAAAATTCCTTTGCACTCAACAAAGAAGAAATAAATAACTTTCGAGTCAGATTAGCCAACTTGTCACGAAATGCAAAATGACATTTAATACCCAACGAAGACGAGGACATGGACTTGAGTGCTCCCAGTTCCAAGCTTCTAGCTCCTCTTGATGGGCAGCAGCTGGGCTCCAAAAAGGGGGGTTTACTTGGGAGGGGGTTTTAGGGGGCTGAGATCCCCAAGACGCATGTCGACCAAATGGCAATGCGATACGCGACGATATACATGACTGGACCTGACTTGCACTTGGCATGAAAACATGAGAAATTCCTTAGCCAATGGCCACCATATCCCCTTCAGCCCCTCGCTTTTCCCTTTTCCACAATGGCATGCCAGAACGCTAGACGACAGCGACATTGTTTCGAATGGCCTGGCAAAAGAAGAAAAATGGCTCTGAAATGCCATCACTGCCATCATTCCACCCAAAAAAAAAGAAGTAAAAAAAATAGAAATGGGAATCGTGAAGAGGAAAGCGAAAAAGTAATCATTGCAATTTAAAGCGGATAATCTGCATCAGACCAAAGCTGTGAAACAAGAAGCGTTGCGAAAAAAGGCGAGTGCTCTAAAAAGGGTTCCAGTTTCACAGTTGCACAACGCGAACGTTGGCAATGCAAATATGCTATCCCTCCCCCTGGTTTTCCACCCCCTCCCGCGTGCGTGAGTGGACACCATTTGCAATTTTCGCACTCGCTTTTCCACTCTCTCTGGTGGTTTTTTTTTCGCACGCCCAAGGAGCGAGGCAGTCATGCAGATTACAATCGAAATGACATGAAAATGTTTAGTGTGGCGTGTGGCAAAAAGAATAGAAAAAAGAGGAAAAGAAATCGCGGTGGCAATGTCAAGCGGCGGCAGCAAGAAAGTGTTGCATATCTACGGGCGCCAGCCACAAGAAAGAAATTGCCCCGGGAAAATGGTAGGTGGAAAGTGGCAAGTGGCAAGTAGCGCTTGGCACTCAAAGATAATGTCTGTCCTGCAAACCGCCGAGGAGCAGGAGCATCTCCTCGGGACTGTAAGAATAATGTCTTATTTGATTGTGGCCAGCAAATGCAATTTAAATTTGTTGCCAAAGCCCTTGAAACGGGCGAAAACGAATGCCAAATCGATTTATAGATTCATCAATAACGCAACTAACATTCCATTTATGCACACCGATAATTTGGTTAGCATTTACCCAACATCACTACTCGTTTCAGGCCATCAGGAGGCAATTAACCCAGTTATAAGGGGGCAACAAGTGAGCGATTTGAAAAATTGCATTACCCTTTCATTATATGGAATTAGGGCATCGACAGATGGGTTACAGATAAAGAAAATATAGGAAACAATTGGATATTGTAGTGAGATCTTTAAAAATCTGGCAACTCTGCTGTTGATCGCAGCCAACTTCAAGTTATCCAATGTTGAAAGCGACGCTATGTAAAACCCGACAGTTGAATTCTCTTAGCTTGATATGAAAAATTTCAGAAAAAAGGCAACTTCTTCATTGCCTAGAAATATTTCTTATTTTTTATACACTTTTATTTTTTGGTGCACAAAGGCAGATACAAGTGCTGCCATTCAAAACGGTGACTGTTGTTAAATAAACTCAATCGAAGCATTAAATTACTGCCAATGGCGCCAATAAGCACAAACAAATATGCCAAAGTGGCTCCTATTCGTGTGTGTCTGTGTCTGAATATTTGTATTCCTGTGTGTCCTGAAAGTCCTGGCAGTTGGCTGATTGAAAGTTTTGCACTGAAGGATGGAGAAAAATATTTGCTTGTCGTCAATAAATATTTTGTGCTGTGTGTTTATTGATCAAAATTGCGAGCCAACAATGCAAAGTATTTTGTTGGTTCGCCAAATATTTATCCACCGGGCGATGGAGAATGCAAAGCATTTGACAATTAATTAGCCTAATTTATGGCCTTGCACCGGAGTGGCTACAAATGAAACATAGTTTTGCAGTTTATTAAAAAGTTCTTCCTTGTTTGTCCCACATTTGTCAATATGCTAACAAATACTTTCGAGAATCATAACAAAGTTAATAAAAATACAGAAAAAATAAACAGAAATGTTGTTCGGCAACAATTATTTGTGAGTTAGCGCCAGTTGTTGGGCGCCATAAATCTTGTACAGCTTTCAGGGCGTCATAAATTGTAAATGCCATCAGCAGCAGGGCGGGAAAAAAGGGGAAAAACACAAAAGGAAACCGAAAACGAGTTGGCATGTCTCTGTGCTACAGTTGCCCTCTCTGTCTCCCCGATATTTGCTGTCCTTCTCTTCTCTGGCCAGGACAAACAATCAATTTATGCACACACAATTTTCCCCTTTTACATATAAATTTCGTATTTTTTGTATCCCTTTTTTAACTCATTTTTACTCAGCGCTGAGTCGCCGGTCGCCTTGCTGTATGCAAATATTTGTTAACTTCATTTGCTCTGAATTAAATATAATTTACATGCATATTTGTTTGCCAGTTGGCCTGCCCTCGTTTTCTCCTGGAAATCCCTTTTCCACATGCCATGTTGCATGCATCTGGGGGCATTAGTTCCCCCGATCTCCCCCTTTCGATCCCTTGGTCATTATAATTATTGTTGACATTTCGACTTAAAAAAAAGGAAGGGAAAAAAGGAAAATAATATGAGAGAGTGAGCCGCGTTAATCCGCCGCCACAATTACACGTGCTAATGAAGTGAAATTTTACTTTTTCGCAATTAAAAACGAATTTCGATCCGTATAGCCCGAAATATGCTTGGAAAAATGCGATGCCATGTTTCATGAGCATTCCGGAATCCAGATTTGCCCCGAAGGGAAAATTGCAACGGCTCTTGCATGCAGTTAATTGGTTTGGCTTTTTTGGGATTGGGCTTGGGCAAAATGTGTTGACAGCACGAACATAAAGTTATTCAGAGCTCTGAGTCATGCCAAGGATAACTGAAATTACATAGAAGCCGGCTTATAGCAGGCAAGTGTAATTGGTTTTAAATGGCGCCCAATTATAACAACTTCAATGGGGAAAGGCGATTAAATTAACCGATTTTGAGATATTTTTTATTACATATTACGTCAGTTCTCGTGGCATTTGCACCGAAATGGGAAAACTTAAGAAATTTCAATAAATTTGTATAGATTTTAAATAGGAAATCAAATCCAGAACATCCCTTTTGTTTGCTCAATAAAACCAAATGAATCTGTATTTAGTTCTGCAAAACGAACCAGAAACAACCCGGGCATTAAGGTTAAGCACAACAATTTGTGTTAATCAACACAAGAGCCGCAGTCAGGAATAGAAGACATTAACATAAATTTGTTTCAAGTAATTTATTTAGTGCGACAAAAGCACTTTCTGGCCGCCCAACACGCTCGGTAAATTGCCACTGCCCAGTAATCGAAAGTGAATTATGGCCAGCCTGTCAGTTGGGCGCCAATTTATGAAGCTGCTATATTTGTAGTGGAAAAATTTGCTAAACATTTCCCGTTCGAATTTTCTTCTTTTGCAGGGCCGCTGTAATCGTGATAAACCGCCGTGCAAATATTTTCATCCACCACAGCATCTGAAGGATCAGTTATTGATAAATGGACGCAATCATTTGGCCCTCAAGAATGCACTGATGCAACAGATGGGCATCGCGCCCGGCCAGCCGGTCATATCGGGCCAAGTGCCAACCGTGGTAAGTGCCGCTCTCTAATACTTTAATTGAATTTCCACCGCTTTTCCCCCGTCCCAAGCTTCCATTTTGAAAATATGAATATTTATAAGAGAACTTCTCCGCTACCGCTACCATGAATATCCGAAATACCAACCAGCAAAAAAAAGAGAGGAATTCAAAGTGCGCGAAAATGAGTCAAAGAGTGAGAAAGAGGAATGTTTTATTCATGCAGGGGGAAAGGGGTTTTTCCGCTTTATAACAAATCGAAAATTAATTCCCAAATAATTTGCGACATGGTTTTTGTGGATTTGCAGCTAAACGACAGCCATCATTAGGGCGAGGCTTTCTTTTTTTTTCGACAGGGGAATGTTGATTGTTGAAAAATGTTTGATGAATTACACTGATAAATGGCCTAATGACTGATTACCCACTCTTGCAGGCCACAAATCCCTATCTGACCGGCATTCCGGCCAACTCGTACAGTCCGTACTACACAACGGGACACCTGGTGCCCACCTTGCTGGGTCCGGATCCCTCGGCCGTGGCCTCCCAACTGGGACCCGTGGTGCCCCAAACAGTGCAGGTGGCCCAGCAGAAAATACCACGTTCCGACAGATTAGAGGTGAGTTTCGGCCCGATGCTTCAGTGTTATATATATACCTCGATATATGTTATGTATCCAAGGAAGTCAATTTAATGCGATTTAATTTACGCTTACTTTGTGTTTATTAATTTAATTTGTTTGTTTGTTCGCCATCGGCGAGAGACTTACACGCAACGAAAATTGTTTCCGTTCTTATGTTTTTTTTTCGTGGCATGTGATTATGTATTTATATATTTACATTTCTAATTAGAATTAATCTTAAACTACGTATACAAAGTATTGCGAACTAAAAACGAAAAAACAAAAAACATTGTACAGAGTTTTGAGTTCTCTTGAGTTTGCCAAAAAGATCAAACTGAAATTGCGACCAAAATCAACTGTATAATTCGCCAAATAACCAGAAATTGATTCGACGTTTTTGACACACATTCGTATTTGTCTAACACGATGCCAAATTGAAACCAAATATAAAGACACCCAATCTCGATGTTCTCTTCTTAATTTCTTAATATTTCTTAATATCTTTTTTATCTGCATAATATAAACGAATTAGTAAGGATCGACCAACGAGTCGATCGCACAATATTGCAGCTTGGCCTAGCAGCTGCTTTTCAGAAGCTTTTCTAGGAAGCTTACGAGCCCTGTAAATAAAGCCCAAGAAAAACTATCCAAATAAAATTGCAGAATTCTTTGCACTGATATTTCTGATTTTGATTTTCCCGTTATAGTAAATCGTTATCGTTATTTTGATTTTTCTGATCAAGCGGAAGGGAAGCTCCTTTTTTCATCCCATTCTCCTCCATAGAGTTTTAGCGAAATCCCTTAGCTCTCAAAAAAAGATAAATCATTGTAGATTTGAAGTTAAGGAGTAGCAGACTTTTTCGTATTCCCCCCGAGGATATTTTGTACCATAGACTTTTGGTAGTTGTTCAGATTCAGTTCAAGATATTTGTCCATCCTTAAATATCCTACCTCCTTAGTTACTTAGAATCAGCAGACACCGAAATATACTCTCTACAAAACAGTCCAACCCCCGAGCTCCCCGTAACGTCTTTGTGTTATTGTTTACTCCTGATTTCGATTTCGAATAATCCTTGCATTCTCGTTGTTCCTTTTTGTTATGTTTGTGCTACGTGTTCCTCTTGTGTTTTCTCGTACTCAAAAGTGCACCAACCCAAAAAAATATGCAAATTGAAAACTAATCGGCATGAAGCAAAAATAAAAACAACACCCCAAAAAAAACAAATCAAAACCAATTCCAAGAGGCAAGTAAAACGCAAAAAAAAACCTAATCAAACAAAAACCTAACACAAATAAAAAACAAATTTGAAATGCATCTGTATCGGCTCTAACCACTAAAAAAAAAACAAACAAATCTTGCCTACCATTTGACTTGGAACAAATCGAAAATATATATATTTTTGCGCAAATACTTAACTTTTCTTTTGATGAAAACTAAACAATAAACCACAATAATAACTAAAGTAAAAAATGAAAACCAAAAGAAATGAACTTGTTACTGAATATCCTTCCATTATTTCCAAAAAACACACTCCACACACACACACACATACACCTTCTCCGCCTATAAAACACACACACACCAAACCAACCAACCAAACCGAAAAACACCACTGAACCACTCTGAACCACAACTGCTGCCACTTTTGCTATCCGCTGCCAACGCCCGCCAATCAACCAATCAACTGATACCGATACCGATTACCGATGTGCGCTGCAACTACAAAAATCGAATCGATCCAAATGAATCGATAACAAATATATCACCTGATAACGATAACTGATATATATATTGCCTGATCACCCAACCAAAAATACCACAAAATAATACAAAAACCCACCGATGATCGTCGAAATGTGCGGGCTTCACGTGTTGTGTGTGTGTTTTGCGATCGATGATGCGATGATTGCGAAATATTCGAATATCCTGAAGGTGTGCCGCGAATTCCTGCGCGGCGCCTGCAAACGGGCGGAATCCGAGTGCCGGTTCGCCCATCCGCAGGAGAGCGTCGCCAGGCACGACGACGGCTCGATAACGGTTTGCATGGACGCCGTGAAGGGCAGGTGCGCACGCGACCCCTGCCGCTACTTCCATCCCCCCCTGCACCTACAGGCACAATTAAAAGCGGCCCAAACACGCGCCACCGCTGTCGCTGCTGCAGCTGCGGTATGGCTATATACTATATATTTTTCTATACTTTTCGAACCTTCTCTTTGCGTTTGCGTTCGATCGATTTATACCGCCCTGTTATTTTGATTTCCTTTGTTTTTATTTGTTGTGTTCTTCTGTGCTGCCTAAATATCTTATGGTTTCCCTGATTTTTATTTAACTGCGAAAGTGATTTTTTTTTTAACATTTGCCCACGCGACGATTCACAAAATGATTTTTAATATAAAGTCGAATGAAGAGAATTTTTCAAAATTTTAACAATTTCAGCGTACTTTTGGGCTTAAATGAAAAATTTTTTAAATCTCTCTGAAAATAAAATGTAAATTATTTTCAAAATTCAGTAACTAAAATCAAAAAAAGGACAGCTGCTTTGACGTATTAATGGCATAACTAAAATATTGTAAAATCTTTAAAGAATTTATAAATCATTTTGTGAAAAAGTCACCCCACTAGCATTTTCTGTTTATGTTCTCCAAATAACCTCAACAGAGAAATACAACACAGAATTTTACTCCTGCACTAACACGCCACACAAATATATGAATATATTTATATATATCTCCTGTATATATATCTAGCCAACGATGACCTTAGGCCATCCTGCTTAGTTCGAAATAGTTGATTAAATTTGCCTTAAATTCGTGCCAAATTCACCGTTCAATTTTATTGGTAAATCTCTCTTCCCATTGATATTTAGTATATGGATTTAAAGCAAATTTAATTAGAAGTTAATGCCGCATGCAAACAATTTAATTAACTTTATGCAAACACACACGCCCACCACACACACGAAATCTCTTTACAAATAACTGTTATTCCCCCTAAGAGCTGCAAACAAAAACGAAAAAAAAGTGTGTAATCGTACAAATTTGTAAAACACAAATTATGCTATTTATTTATGCTGCATATTCAATGACATTGCCACTGGCTATGTGCAATAAACGCTTAAGCGAAATTCGCTCGTCCCCGGAAAATATTGAAAATATAGAAAAATTCAAATCAATGAACCGAATAATTCTGCCTGATATAACGTGACACATTTGGATTATGCACTCAAAAATTCTCCATAAATTTTAATAGAATCTCTGTTACTTATTAGTGATTAAATTAAAATAAAGGTCTAGGATTAGCTGTTAAAAAAAGTAGCTTGGTAGAAAATCATTATAATCTGTACTGATTTTTTATTCTTGATATAAAATGACAAAAGCTTTAAAATTTTAATACACAGTATTTTTCCCATTCGCGATGCTATTTAAAATATTATTCTGCGGGGTCTGCCAATGAAAATAAGTCAGTGGAGAGGCATTAAATACAATTTTATGGCTAATTGAAAATTCATTTGGATGAACATAATTATGTTTGTCCTGGGCAAATGAAATGTTCAACAATCATTCGGTGGGACACCATTCAAACAGGGTGTTCAGCGGCGTCATTTAGATGTTAATTTTGTTTGTAGATCAATAAATAATTATATTTTTTAAGTATGCCTCCCAGACACAAAGCAAACAAAGAGTGTGGGGGCAATGTGGGAAGAACATAATCCTGCCGAGGAGAGTTGGGGCCGAAAATATCCGGGAAACACGGGAAATATGTTGAAGCTCACATAAAACACGCCATAAATGTTGATTTTCGTTGGGCCAAAATTAACATTTATTACAACGCGTTAAAACTTTGAGCACGCAGCAGGTTGAGCAGGGGAAATGCGGAGGAAAGCGGAGGAAAAGCGGAAAAGCGAGGCAGCCGGGCCAACACGGCACTCACACATGGGCACGTACGTTGTACATACGTGGTTGTATCCGTGTTTCCCGGCTGCGTGTCCTATGCGCCGTACTTAATTCGCGACTTAATTGCTTTCTGCTGGAAATTTATTTGACGCAACAAACAACAACGCTGTCCTTGTTGGCCAGGCCGGGAAAACCGGGGGGTAGTGAAGCGACAGGGAGGGGGTGGTGAAAATGACACACATAATTGCAGCATAATATCGCATAAAGTGAAAAATTGTTGCAGCATTTTAGGCGTAATTCAATCGAGGCTCTCCTCTCGTCGAGCGGAAGGGCAGGACCCAGGACCCACGACCAGGACAAACGTGATTATTGTATGAAAATGTCCTTTGATACCTTCCCTTCACATATGTTGACATTACCCACTCCCCTGAGCCGATAATTGTATTTATGGGTGCTCGTTTAATGTGATTACAGGCCCAGGGTAAAAATGGGAATTAAACGCTTACCTTATTGCACCTGTCTACCGTGTGTGTTTTTTTTTATCGTGCATTATTTTGATATCCCGCAAAATGTTGATGCTTGATTATATTCCCCTGTAATGAAACCGAATTTTAAAAGCGGGTTAATTTTACATCAATCTTTAGCACAATAAGTTATAGTAATTGGAACTGTTTAAAGAAATATATACAAAAACCGATGCAGCGCTGCTGTTTCATTTCATAGCTATTTTCAACTCATTGTTAATACCTTTTCGTAGACTTGTTTCCAGTTAATATTATACGCCTTTGCTTTATAATATTTTACCAATATCCTTTGTATATAAAAATAAATTATACTTGCAAAGTAACAAGATTTCCCATTTATTCTTTTTACTTTGACTTGTAGTCAGACTTTAAGGAATACCCAAACTCATATAATAATATCCTTAAATGTACCCCTCAAGCCCCATAGCTGATTATCGAGTTATATACGTTATATATCTTTATATATATATTCAAATCCAATCGACAGACGATACAAAACCACACCACAAAAACAGACCAAACACACAAAACTCCGCCTTTGCATATATGATTTCCCCCTATAATTTCCCTGTGTTATTGTTGCTGTCCGTTGATAAGCGTTTAAGTTTTGTTTATTATGATTGCTGTTTGGCATTCTGGGTCACCGAAACGTCCCCCATATGTCAGCAAACGAAGAGGAGCAAAAAAAGCCCCATATCGACGGGGGGGATCTCCCCACAAATATGCCACCTGCCGCAACGAACGACCCCACAGAACTATAATCCTCGCATGTAAGCGTGACAAGAGCATCTCGGCCAAAGAAAAAAGGCCGGAGGAAAAGTGAAACTGAAACTGAAGGGGAATCAGAATCGGAGGACTACAGGAGTGGGCTCTCTTTTTTCCCACCGAACCGACCGAAAATGTAAATGTCAACCTGTACAGGACACGGATACGTATACGGACAGGGTTACGGACAGGCCAACGGACAGGGACACGGACGACATGGATTAGTCCGGCCCGGATAACGTTTGAACCGGAAAATTAACTAAAAGCAGAGATTTCCATGCCAATGAATTGTCCGGCGGAGTCTGCCCGAGCGGCCTGCTGGTTTTTTATGGACTCGACCCCGATATACACACCTCCAGCAATGGGTATATTTCCATATATATGAAGGAACATTAGGGTGGTCAAAAAATTCTTATCCGTATCCTTAAATGTGGTTGTATTCAAAACTACAACATTTTATTGAAAGATGGTCTTGCATTTTTCTTAAAAATTACTCATACGACACGTAAACCAATTAGAATTTGGAAGAAAATAAAGTATTCTTTCTTTTCAAAGCTTGTCAATTTAGTGATATCCTTTGAATATAATGAAAACTATTTTCGATTAAATCCACTCCACCCAGATTAAAATACATTTTCGGTCAACGACAACAGTGCGTATGAGTGATATTCTTTAAAGTAAATGTTCTTTAGTTATTTTAAAAATTTCTTTAAAAGCTGCTGAAAGTAGGACCCTAAAAATTTGCCTGAACCGCCCTAATGAACATACATGCATACATATATATGTATATTTGGCGAACACCCCACGATGTTGTCGCGCCCAAGCGAATTAATCCATTTGTAGCATTCATTGCCAGTGACACTAGCCGAGAAAAAGAGCGGTGAAAAAAAGCAAAGGAGTAGTCGTGTTGGTCGGGCCAACTGGCCGTCTCTTTTGCACCTCTGACTGACTGTCTCTTTCGCTTTCCCCCATTTAAATGCAAATTTGTGCACTCTTTCATGCGACCTACGCCCAAATATGTACGCCAAGCCTTTTTTCCCAGTGTGCGCGCTTGTGTTATGTTTTGGTTTATTTTTATTTTGTGGTTCTTGGTTATTAGGCACACATGGGTCCACTTTCGTGGTAAGGGGCGAAAATCGGGCAAGAGCTAAAACCCAATTGCGGTGTTAAACGCATTAGCATTGAGCTCTGCAGAGCAAAATTTATGGGTACGGAAATTGGGGTCGCAACTTTGCCGGGGAATTAAAAGTGTACAAGGGGTTTTCGAGACCGAAACTGGGTCAGAATGGATATGCGAAAATTCCCAAGTCCAAAACACTAACCACGAAAATCAAACTCAAAGTCCCGTAATCCACAAACAGAGTTGTTTAATTTGCATTTACCCCGAGTTAGTCACCTTGTTTATGAATGAGCAGCAGCAACGATGCATCGGTAGGTATATTTATACATAACTTATGAGTCCCAAATCACAAATGCGAATGTGTCTAGTCAAAAGGTGGCGAATCAATTGGTGAACCGAGTGATTTTGTTGGCAAGTTCATCAATTTGCCAACCCCCCTAAGTTAGATCGTAAGAATAACCATCGAAAAGGATAAGTTTTAGACTGTAAGACAAAAACAAGGCTTTTACACTTTGCTCTGGCTTTCGCAAGCTTTTTTCCGAAACGATTCTCTAACCAAACAAGGCTTTCACTCACACAAAACTAACTTGATTTACGCTTCTTTCCGAATAACAAGCCAAATGAATATTAATCGAAATTATTAACATTTAGTTGGTATGTGTAACGTTTATTTAAGGCTCTTTCAATATCAAATGGAAATCGTGTTTATTTGGATTACCGTTGATTTCTACTTGATTTATTCATATTTACTCTCTCTACGAATATAATCTATATATACGTAAAATTTGATTTTTTCTATTTATTTACTTATTGATATCAAAACACTTCCGTACTCTTCTACTATTATGTATTTTTCATCTGTTCGCCTGTGCCAACACACACACACACAAAACAACCACCCACCCACACACACACACTGTAACTGCTTCAACGATGGATGGTGAAAAAAAAACACAATCACATATGCACAAAATTCGAATATGAAAACGAATTAAAACATAAAAAAATGAACTCAAACAAATGCACACTTGCATAATTTGTTGGGAAAATGCAAAACAAAAAAAAAATTGGACACACTAATTAATAATTCATGGAAATCGAAAAAAAAAATTAAAAATATACAAAAAAAACAATTAAAAATGCCAACACCACTGCCGCTTGAATAATTCAAATTGGAATCTCTCAACTAATGGACACATCATTCAAATGCTCGTATATTTTAATAATTTTGCATATTTTGCCTGCCTCTCAATGGGTGTCTGTGTGAAATTTTCGTTTGATTTCAATTTTCCAAAAATAAAATCGAAAAAAAAATTCCAAAAATGTTTGACACACAAACGCACGAACAAACAACCTACAAACCAACACGCACACACAGACCTCACCGCTGACGGCACACCATCACCAGCAACAGCAACAATTGCAACACCAGCTGAACAACATCAACAACAACAACAACCACAGCACCGCCGGCGCAGCAGCCACCTCGACAACAGCAACAACAACCACAAACAACGCCGCTGCCGCCGCCGCCGCTGCTGCCGCCGCCGCTGCCGCCGCCGCCGGTTTAATGGGCCACCACCACCATCACACTCACACACTGGAAGTGGGCAAGAAGCGGGCGGCGGACACAACCGATATGTTTCCACTGGTATTTTTCTTTTCCTTCACCTTGTTTGTGTTTTTCGTTATTCGATTTTCCGTTTTCAAGTTTTTCCGTTTGTTTTGAAGTTTGATTTTTTGTTTCCCTAACTCTAAAATCTAAAATCTATAGTTGATTTGCCTTGGTTTTGACGATTGTAACTGCTTTAGTTAGTTTTGCCTTTTTCGTTGCATGCTTTTAGGCGCGGACCCACGAAGGACCTTCGCTATAAGATCATACTTTTAAGTAGAAATTTAAACAGCTGAAGATCTTAGACGCTGCTTCCAAACTATCCAACTTGCTTATAATCTAATCTAATAGAATAAAGCCCCAAAAAAACGGGACGTAAGTCCTGCTGCCAAATCGGGTTAAAATTTTCAAAATAATAAATGAAAAATATTTTTTTTCACTAAAAAGTCATGATAAAAATGGATTTGAAAATCAATCCCGCTAACTTTCATTATAAAATCAATTAAATGGATATTTCGTTAAATGCCCAACCAAAGTGCCACTAACTTAAAACTGATCAGGACTAACCACTTAGATTATGAACCCTCCGTAAACAAAACCCCCTTACTTTGCGGTACTTGAAACGAAATGCTTTCAACTTTCACCTCACCTAAGTTAATCAGTCCCTCACTCATTCACTCAATCACTCACTTGCCCGCCCACTCAGTTAGTCAGTCACATGCACATCAAAGTGCCATCAATTAACGTTTATTATCAGCATGGCCAGGTCGACTGGAAATGGATGCAGCACAACCCCCGGCATTTAATTTACAAAATGAAGTCATTATCCGATATATCAAAAGTGCAAACACTCACCAAGAAACACACTCGCACACTAATCAATACAGACAAACATTCAGACACACACACACACTTTTTGCAATGGCAAGAGCGAGTTTAACCAATTACACGTGGCATATGATAAATCACAATCACAACACGAGCACATTTGCCCTGCCAAGTGTTAATTAAAATGATTTAACCGATAATTGCCAAGGCTGTAGTAGTAACTGTAGTCCGTAGATATACCTTTAGCGGTAACTGTAAGTTTCTTTCTTTCGCTTTCGCCACTGCCACTGCCACTTGCCACCGCCTCTGCTGATTGCATTCGCGAGCTTAATTGTTTAAGTGCTTTTCCTGGTTAATTAGCTGAACATGCACCGAACCACCTGCAGCCAGCAGCCTGCAGACTTTGTTTATCCCGCCCCCACCCCCGTTTTCCGTTTACATCACGCCCATCACGCCCACACACATCACATCACATTGCCACCCTATTAGGACTAAGTATTATACCATCCGTGTACCCGTTTATGTATATATGTATCTGATTAATGCCATTATAATACTGCCACTGTACTGTGCCCAGGATATATCCACTAATTTCATTTGTGTTCTTCTCTCCTCTTCATTTGCTCTTCTTCGATTCCATATAATATCTCTTGCGTTCGTTTCAAAAACTCCACCACCTACTATATCTCACTGTCTTTCGAAATTGAAATCGAAATCGAAACTGAAACCGATAATAATAACTGCGAAATGCGATATGTGTGTGTGCTAACCCCGATCCAATCCGATCTGACCATCAAATCAAACAATGATAACCCAACAACAATCAACAACAACAAATCATACACTAACCGCATAATCAACAACAATCGATAAATGCCAAAAAAGATGGATGTTAAAACGGTTGGTTCATTTTACTATGAAAACTTCGTAAGTACTCCCAAAAACTGAGTGACAATCGTACAGTACACGTTCAGTAGTAGTCGCGTCTAGAAAAAATTATCAACTATACATACACTATAAAGGCTATAGACCTTAAAAAGCTATAGAGTTATATAACTAACCAGCCAAACTATCGATGAACGCCGCATGCCTTCAAAATCAATCGAATTTGATTAATATATATATCGACAAATCGTGGCCATTGGTCTGCTTCTTAAATAACTATATCATTTTAATTAATATATAACCAAAACTGAAGAGTTGATCTTACCAACCACTGTTCAAAACATCAACGCTTTTATGCACACAAAAAATATATCAAAACCGATCGGATTTTAAATCACAAAAATAAATAAATTAAATAAATCAATAACACTAAAAGCTTATTCATTTCACTTACTAACTATTCTATAGTTGTAAACTGCGAACGCTTTTCCCAATTTTCCACCCAACTGCACGCACCTTCGATTTATTCAGTTGCAAAACTATGTATACTCCAGCCTATGTTTTGATTTCCTTTTCGTTTCTGATTTGGTTCAGTTTGAAGAAATCGTTTCGTTTCATATGTATTTCGTTTAATTTGGTAACTCTCACCCAAAAAAAAAAATAGAAGAATTGGCAATAGAAAAAAGCAAGGCGGAAAAAATAAGAAACTCAAAATTAACCAAAAAGCAAGCTCGTTTGTAAGCAATTGTTATAGTGTATATGGTTATCAGTAGATTATAAGTTGAGATAATGCTTAAATAAATATTTTAAACTAATAAATTTCCATCTCTTTCTCTCTTCTTTCGCCCAACCCATCTCTCTTTCTCTCTCTCTCAGCAATTCTCTGGCATGGTTCCGTTCAAACGTCCAGCTGCCGAAAAGTCTGGCATTCCAGTTTATCAGCCCGGTGCGACCGCCTATCAGCAGTTAATGCAGCCCTATGTGCCAGTCTCATGTGAGTATCCCCAACAACAACAACAACCACCACAACAACAACAACAACTACATCAACAACAACAACAAAATGTACTACTACAACAACAACTACAATTAAGTAGCGCCATAACAACAACAACTACAACAGCAACAGCCAGTAATAATATGATTAATAATATTAATAATAAAAGTATCATAAACGCTGTAATTGCTACTACCAATAATATAACACCATCATCAGCAATAGCAACAGCAACAACAACAGCATCATCATCAACGTCATTAGCATCATCAGCAACAACAACAACAACAGTAACAGCCATTGCTACTACTAATCCTAACGATAGTGATCATGATCAAGATTCCGATAACAATCCAGAACTCGATAAAGATCACAATCGCGATCACGATAGTGCTACTGCTGATGGTGAAACTGTTAATGCGGATCAAGATAATCAAGACAATAGTGACCAAACGAATCTGAATCTAAATCCAAGTCCCCCTAACGATTGTAATACAACACGAACAATCTCACCAAACCCAGAAAACACAGCAGCAGCAACAGATACATTAGATGCAACCCCCGCAGCAGCAGCAACTGCCACGCCCCCCAATGGCAATACACCGCCCCCTAGTTCCCCCTCGCAGGGCGATAGTCTTCTGCCCCTGCCCAATGGCCTGGGCGATAATAACAACTACTTGTCCTATATCAATAACAATCTGAATAATGGCCAGCTCAAGTCGGCTAGTAACGAAGAATCCCTGAATGGCGATTTAGAGAGTAGCAATAGCAGCAACCCACTAGCAACATCGGCTACACGCAACTTTGCCAAGCAGAACGGCGAGGGTTATTCGAGATATACGATTAATGGTCATAGTACTGGTATCTTGCCAACACCCACCACCTCAACTTCTGCTCCCCCAGTTAGCTATCAATCCCAGGTGCAGGCCCAAGTTCAAGCCCAAGCTCAGGCTCAAGTTCAGATGCAGCGCATCAACTATGCCATGCCCGCCTACAGCTATGGCAATCTGTACTCGCCCTATGGCGGAGCCACCTCCACCATGGTCAGTCTGCCCACTGCCACGCCCACGTCCTACGCCCAGGCTCAAATGCAGCAGCAACAGCAGCAGCAACAACAGCAGCAGCAGCAACAGGCTCAGGTTCAGGCCCAAGTTCAGGCTCAGGCTCAAGCCCAAGCTGCCTATGCCCAGCAGGCCTATGCCGCCTATGCTGCGGCAGCTGGCCTGACTCCCCAGGCCACCTCAGCAGCTGGTGCCTACTACACCGATCCCGCTGCCTTGGCCAAGGAGGTGGCCCAAAAGAACTATGCCATGAAGGTGGCCAGTGCCGCCAAGCCAGGAGGAGCTGCCTCCTCCGCAGCAGCTGCCTATACGGGTTTAACCTTGAACAAAAGCTATGTGGCTAGTCCACAGGCTGTTCAGGCACAACCTCAAGCCGTTTCCATGGCAGCTCTTCTACAAATGCAGGCTCAAGCACAGGCTCAAGCCCAAGCTCAAGCCCAGGCTCAAATGCGTCAGTTGGGTTCCCTGCCGAGCTCCGTGCCTGGCACTCCAGTGCGTTCGTCACCAGCTGGAACGACCAGTCAATATCAGTCAGCTGCCCTGCTAAGAGCACCCTCACCCATGCCATATGCCCAGGCCCAGGGATACTTCTATCCCGGCATGATGCCCACCGGAGCCACAGCCTATGCCATGCCACAAGCCCAGGCTGCTGCGGCACAGCAATATGCTGCAGCTGCGGCAGCAGCGGCAGCAGCCGCTCAGGCAGGAACTCCAGGCAGTGCCATGGTCCTGAACCCCTACAAGAAGATGAAGACCTCTTAGGAAGGTTAATTGAGAAACCCAAACCCCAAACACAACTGTACTTAAGACACCAAGAAAGTCACACACTTAATTAGATTGATAGATTTAAACACATCGAAGACGTAAGATTATGTGCCTCAGTTTTCTTGAAGAAGGACTAGTGGAGAGAAGCGTTTTAGACCTTAGTTGTACCATAGGCCTCATAGCGTTAGAAGAACGAACCATGACATGATTACCACTAAAATCAGACAGACAGATCGAAGATCGAAGCTTACTAACACAAATATGCCCGAAACTTGCTGACAAACGACAAACGAATCGATAATTTGCCATTAAGTTATTTGACAAAAACGAAACATAACCTCACTGTGACTCGAAAAGTGTTGCCATCTTCGCACCAGAATCGAAACAACCAAGCTTTTAAAGCACCGGCGAAACGGAAGAGAAGCAGATGTTAGCTGATAGTAATACTTAAGTTCCTTTTTTCGGATAGCACTTAGTCAACTCTAGTTTATAGAAAGCGGTTACACAAAAAACAGATAGAAACCAGGGGCGGGACTTAAAAGAGAGAGGATCGAAGAACTGTGATAGCGATAAAAAAGAAAGGATAAACCTCTAATGTTGCTGCCGATGCTGGGTACAGTTGTGTATGCTTGTTGCTAGCTGCGGGTGCTTGATGCCATATCGTCGTCCCTGTCTCCCACATGCGGTAGTTCGTATAGCTATCTCTCTCTCGCTCCCGCTCATCATTCATTTTTCGCGCTCTCTCTCTCTAACACCCTATCGCTGTCTCTGAATGTTTCCTAACTAGCTAGATAGCTAGCGTGAATGCTGTTGTAATTGTTTAAAATTGTTGAGCAACGATAAATGCGTAACGAATATTGTCTAGTTTATATAGAATACTTATACGATATACATATACATATAAACCTAGCTGTACGTGCTGTATGCTGCTACCCATATACGATACACACACACTATGTACTCTAACACACGCTCATCCCTTACACAAAAAAAAAGAAAACAAAAATGGCATAAACATGACCAGGATCGATCTGTAAATCATATGTCTAGCTTACTAATCAGATATTACAGTACAGTCACCACCACTCACGATCACGTCTCTCTATCCGTCTCACTCTAACACACACCATACACCCGTACACCTTTCAGACTGTTAAGCCAGCAAAATTGATTTATGTTAATGTTATGTTATCGAGATTTAAATTTGATGTGTTGACCAGAACTATGTAAATCCTTTTGATTTTTAACGACTATCACTATCCCTCTCTTCATCTGTCTGTTTAACCCTCTATCGCCCACTCTTTCGATGTATTATAAATGTTTTCCTTTCTGTAATCGAAATGTTAAGCAAAGAATAAAATCATTGACAAACAGAACTAAGTTTTTAATGTTAGATCTCGTGTGATTATCAGTTTTTTCTTTACGTTCTTTTCTATGTAATTTTTACGTTGATATTTATGTATTTTATGTACTTATAAACCAGTTTTTAGTGTAGCTATTATATAATTTTTAACGTGTGTTCCCGATTGATAAACCATCTGAGAAGAAACTACAAAAGCAAAAAAACAATAAATTTGCCACTGACTTGCGCACCCTAAGTTTTAGATTCCCCGCCTCTACACCCCCGCACCTGCTAAAAAAAACTCCACATCCGAGACCATCCTACATACATTACTATTCGATATATACGATAATCTCTGTAAAATTGTTTTTAATTAAAGTACTTCTAATGTCTTACAACGATTTGATGTTTGCCACTAATTCTTATCCTAATTCTAATCCTAATTCTAGTTTAGTTCCGATAGTTTTTATTAATGTTTTATTTGAAATACCGTGTGTTTATCTAAATATATAGTTTACGAAAAAACAAATATATATATCTTATTGTGTGTTGGTATTTTACTTTATTTGATTTACTTATTTCGGTATTCACTTGATAATCGTTTTTCTGTTGTGCCGCTTTTACATCTCACCTTTGATTTAAAAACGTACCCCTTTGATATGTAAGCATATCAGATCCCGAACACAAGCTTTGCCGAGCGCTTTTGGGCGGAGCAGCACTCTTCCTCTATATCTCTTTATATCTCTTCCCCCCGAAGCTTGTCGAATTTTTGATTTAATATTTTAATTGAATATTATTTCAGTCATTCGAGCATTCCCCGCTATATCCTCGACACAGACACAGAAACACCCACATATTCTTAGGACTGCCTGACTTTTCTCCTTTGACCTGCTTCCCCTCACTATTGCTTCTTCCTTAAAAGATAAATCCGATCTTACTCCCTCCGTAAATCCATCTCATTCTATATATGTTTTAGCTCTTAGAATAATGGCAAGCAAAATAAGTACGCTAATGGTAGAGAATTAGTTGTAAAATCTGAATATACCATTTATCTAAACATTACCTTATATGCCTATGGCCAGCCAATGCTTGGCTTACTCTATATACTCGATAAGAAAGATGCTTACTAAACATGGCAGCCGAATACAATATTGAAACAACATATATATATAATATATACGTATAGCAAGCTAAACCAGATTAAAGTATACCTATATTCATCATATATCTCAATGTCTTGCCTATAAAAGTATGATAACATTATCTATATGTGTCGTATGGTTAATTTTTTCGTTAACAACGTAGAACTGTTGCCGTTGGCCCCTAATTTCAATAACAAATGAAAAACTATGCGAAAATGTTTAGAAAACGCTCTCGAACTAACTAAGAACTAAAGCAAAAAAAATGAAAACTTAAAACAAACCAAAACACCACTTACCACTGCATGGCGCCAAGATATAACCAACTTGCATTTCAGATCTAAGAGCTCATTATTTATTACGCTTCTTTCCAACCTTGCAATGCACCAACAACTAAAGAACACAGCAACAAACAGACAGACAAAAAAACAGTATGTTAACATTACCATGCAATAATATAGCAATGAATTGTCAGTTGACACTAGGATAACAATGAGTTAGGCTGATTTTAAATATACAAAAAAGAGAAAATAAATAAAAGAAAAGTAACCACTTAGAAAACCACAGTCCATTCCAATATATAGTAAAGTGGGTTTTCAAGCCTTCTTCAATAGATAGAAGTACAGTACCGTCCAATAGAAACTATAGTTTAGTGGAAACCACCTAGTTGCCTCCTTTTGATTTGTAGCC